CCCCGGCCCCCCCCTGTGTGTTTTTTTCTCCTCCCGCCCCCCCCCCCCCCCCCCCTTTTCTTCCCCCCCCCCCCCCCGGCCCCCCCCTGTGTGTTTTTTTCTCCTCCCGCCCCCCCCCCCCCCCCCCCTTTTCTTCCCCCCCCCCCCCCCGAGGACTCCTGCTTGTGTCTGTCTGCCTCTGTGCGTCCCCTGCAACACTCACAAGAGCAGGTGGCTTCTCTCTAGCTCGCTCCGGTCCAGAGCGCCCCCTGTGAGGGCTGGCTGAGCCTGCAGAGTCTTTGCCTCGGGGACCCTCAGGGCTGCTTCCGAGGGAGACTCAAAAACCTCATCGGGATACGTGGAGGGCTCTTCCGGCAGGACCCCTTCCTAAGCAAAGGAGGGGAGGCCCAGCTGTTAACAGCTGCCGGGGCCCCCAGCAGTTCCTTCCCCTCCCCTCCTCTGCGGTCCAACTCCTACCCTGGCGAAGAAGGAGGTGTCCAGCTCATCCGGGAACTCCGTGGTGGTGAAATCCTCCTCCAGGAAGCTGGCCGGAGTGAAGCTGCGCTGCCGTGTCCTGCGCAGGGTACCCTCTCTCGTGGAACGGCCCTGGCACAGAGACGGGTTCAAGAGACGGGGAGCACCTGCCGTCCCTAAGCAGCCGCCATCCATCCAGGACATGCTGGCCACTCTCCAGCTGCACGGCGGAAGGGGCTAGGGGTGGGCCTCCAAGCCCTGCAGGGCCTAAGGATCCCGGCAGGCCTTTTTCTCCTGCTCCGCTGGACCAAGGACAGAGGCCCCACCTGGCCACCAGGCTTCCAAAAAGTAATTAGAAGTCAGATACTTCAGCCAGCTGTGGGTTGATTCCGGTCTGTTCCTCTTGCTTATTCTCAGACGGAGGGCTGTTGCCAGCCCCGGCGCAAGAGACCGGCCACAGCCGCGGACCAGACCATGCGTGCAGAATGTGAGGAAGGCTGCAAGCGCGGGCCTCCGTGGGTGTGTGGAGGCAGGAGCCCCGAGGTGTGCTAGTGAGACGGCACATGCCCCCCCCCGGGTGAGATCTCCCTCCCTCCCTCCCTCCCAGCCCCTCACCTTCACTAGCGCTGCAGCTGCTCGGAAACTCATCTTGGCCACTGACTCCCTTTTCCGCCGCCGAGGCCAGCGGCCAAAGCCAGAGCGAGAGCTGGTGAAAGAGCACAGCGAGGCTGCTCCGGGCGTGGCTGGGGTGGCGGGCACACTGCAGCCATCACAATCCTCCGCCACTCGGAAGGCCCGTCCACGTGCCAGGGGGTCGATTATCTGGCAGCAGAGAGAAGGAAAGAGCCCTGAGGGCGGCAGCAGCCACGGCAGCCCCTCCACCAGCTGGGCTTCAGCAGGGTCCCACGGGGAGGTTGGGGGGGGAGACCAGGTAAAGCACCTTCCCATACAGCACCTGCCGTTTCCTTTAACCCTGTTGCCACCCTTGTAGGGAGGTGCCCTTCCTCTTCCAAGAAACTCAGCCCGGGGAGGGGGGGGGTCATGGGACCCGAGGCTACCTACTCTCTGCATGCCAGGTGGGCAAGGGGGCAGATAGAGCGGTGGGGGGGTCTCCGCGCTGGCCAGGGAGATATTGTCCTGGCTTGGGAGGTCCATTTCGCGGAGGGCCTGGGGCTTCAGCTTTCCGTAGCGCAGGCTGCAGTGGCGCAGGCTCTTCCGTTGCCACTTCTGGGTGGCATCGCTCTCCTTGCTGACGCCAAACCAGTCTGCGGTGCCCCTGAGGAGAGAGTGGAGGGCCAGGAGGAGACCTTGCTGAAGCCACAAGGCCTTCCAGCCACTGTCATTCCTCCCTCGTCCCCCAAACCCTCTGGGCCCAGAGTCAGTGGCCAAGGCGGGGGCGGGGGGAGCAGGGGGTGGCTGCCAGCAGGAGGGAGCCGCGGAGCTTCAGGAGTTGTTAGCAGCCCCTGCAGGGCAGTGTCAGGAGGGAGCCCTCGTTCTCCGGCAGAATTCCCTGCCTGTGCTGGGGACAGGCACTCGTGGGCCGTGGCCAGGCTCACCACAGGACTTGGCCCAGCTGGACTGAGGGGCAGCAGGAGGGAACAGCCAGGTTCTGGGGGTGGGGTGGGGGGGTGTCCGTGTCTCACAGGCTGCTTGCTGGCAACTGGAGCAGCTCTGCTGCCAGGACTCGCATGCAGCTCACACGCATGCAGTCACTGGTACCTGAACAGTGTTCTGGGCAGTGACTGGCGCTTTCTCAGGGGCCTCCTGCCCACCTGGTGCCCCCGAATGGGCAGGGTCTGTGTCCTCCCAAAGTGCACCTGCCTGCTGCAAAGGAGAGAGTCCTGAAGAGGGGAGGGGGGAGGAAGGGGGCTCCGGTGCCACTTGGCTCGGCTAGAACAACTGACTCTACCAGCTGGTGACAGCTAGGCAAGATGTGGGCTGGAGAGAGTCCCTGGCACATAAGCCATGTCCCACTTGGCCGGGTTCTGTTGCATCAACACCCAGCTCAGGCCACCCATAGGGGCCACTGGAGGGCTGGGGGCATCGGAGCTGGCCGGTGGGCGAGGTGCCCCTTCCCAGCCTTTCGTCCTCTGGGTCACACACTCCCTTGCTGCTCAGGGACACTGTCTCCGGATGCTTTCTTGGATTTCCAGGGTTTGGGCAGAGGCACCGGGGGAGGAGGGGGCGAAGGTGCCCCATCCTTTTTGCAAGAACCGGAAGACCATGCAGCCCTACTTGGGCACAACTCTCCGGCTCCTGCCCCCCCCCCCCTTCAGATGAGCTGCTGAGTAGAAGAAGAGCCGTGGAGCCCCTTCCCTCTCCAGAGCGCATTCGTTGCCAGGAAATGCAGCGGCAGAGAAAAGCTGCCCCCCAGCAGGGCAGGGAGGACATGTGGCAAATCCAGCTGCCAGCGGGGCCTCGGCAGGGACCCGGTCCAGGTGTCCAGAACTGTGCCAAGGCTTGGCTTACCTCCAGATGGTCTGGGTGATGGACGTCTGTCGCTGCAGGACAGGTCTCCGTGCCTCGCTGTAGGCGGCAGGGAAGAGGCTGTTGTCGGCAGGCATGCTGACGCTCCGGAGGAAGGCCTGGCGCTTCAAGGGCTGCAAAGGAACCGTTTCCTGGGCATCACAGCACTGGCAGCCGAGGGCAGAGGGCCACCGCTGAGGCCAGAGAGGCCCTCCCATCCCTCCCCCCTGGAGGCTCCAGGATGGGGCGCCCCTCAGCCGATTTCCATGCAGGCCCCCCCAAGGAATTCCCCAACCCTACGGAAGACCCGCCCAGCCTTTGGGGAGGAGGAGCAGCTGGAGAGCCAGGCGTGGCGGAAAGGCAGAGCGGAGGCCAGCCGGGTACCTGAAGCGCGGCTGGTTCCTCTGCTGCAGCCAAGAACGGGACAGCCGGAATGTCCAGTTTCAGCCAAGGCGGCTTCTTCCTCTGCAAGCTGCTGGAGTTCTCCCGGCGGAGCTCGCTCATCTTCCCTCTTCAGAAGCCCAGCCTGCAGGGGGCAGAGTTTATGGGCACACCAAGCACCCAGGCAAGCCTGCTTGTGGCCACCAGCACGGGCTCCCCTTCCCCTCCACTGGGAGGCCTAGCCTGGGACCCGTCCTGTCCCCTTCCAGCCGCCTGAGCGTGGGGCCACGTGGCTTCCCAAGAGCTCTGGGAAACAAGCCTGCATTGAGCGGCTGAGGCGGCTGCACTTGGCTTGAAGCCAAACTGGGTTTGCCTATCTAGCAAAATGACCCAACACCAGCGCAGACCGGCAGCCCTTCCGAGCCCCCCTGGCGGCCAGAAGCCTCCCAAGGTGTGTGTGGAGTCCTTTGGGCCGACCGGTCAGCTTCATCCGACAGATCGATCAGGCAGGAAACACAACAACTAAGCCCCGTCCACTTTATTGGTTTTGCAGGCCTGGAAGTGGGATTCTCCCGCCATCCCCTTCGCAGCCCCCTAGCCCCCAGGGACCCTCCTCAGCCTCTCGCCCCACCCGCTCTCCAGCTGTGGGCTCTGCTGCCTCTTCTTGTTCCCTGGGCCGCATCTCTTCACCCCCGTCTCCCACAAAGGTATTTTGGGACATAACACGCTACGGGGGGGAGGTCAAGGCTGAAGAGGCCCATCTGGACAAAGAGGACCCTCAGCAAGGGGGCCATGCTGCCCACACTGACATCACCACAGCCCCCTCCTCTTCCAGGCCAGGAGTTTCCCAGGAAGAGGAGGAAGCAAGTACAGCAGCCCAGCTCTTCTAGAGAAGGAGAGAGGAGGAGGGGTCCTGTCCTAGTGGGGCCCTTCCAGCAAGCAGGAGAGGGCTGGGCCAAGAGTTTTTTTGGCACACATAACCAGCCAGCTCCCTTCCCCTGGTCAACTCCACAGCTCCTCCATAGCAGAGGTTCTCACACACACACACCCGCCTCCAAACGTCTTTTCCCTGCTTTGCCTACCGCCACCCTGGGCCTCCCTTTGCCACCCACTGCCACCCAATACACCCACATCTGCTGGGCCCTCCCTGCCCCGCACCCTCAGCCTCCCCCTTTCCAGCTGCTTGACCCACGGCAACATTTCCTGCCAGGCAGCGCATGGCCGAAGGCAGAAAAGAGCCCTGAATGGAAACCACAAAAGGCTCAATGCTGGTTTCCTGCAGATCTTTTGGGGTTACCCCTCCCGTGTTCCACACACCCACTGATGGGAGGGGGTCTCCTCCCCCTCTTAGAGCTCCCCAGCCAGCCTGCCTGACCTACATCCCCCCCCCCCCCCCGCTGCCCCAGATGATGGAAACGTTGAGAAGGCTGCTTCTGCCCGGCTGTCCTTCTCTGTTAGTGGGAGTTAGTGGGAACCGTTGGCCTAAGACTGGTCTCTGCAAACATGCACCAGCCAAAGAGGGAAACCAACCCGGTAGGAAGCAAAGACCGCAATGAGATGGGTCTGAATTTGCACTCAAGTCCCTTCCGCACAACACTCTGATGGGCCTGGGGGTTCACGGAGCCGCCCGCCCTAAATGGGGCTCCGGGCTGGGGGGGTGCCGCCCTCTTCCTTCCAGGGGAGGAGCAGCAGCCGCCCCAGGATGAGACAGTCCTCAGCACTGGGAAGTTCCCACTTTGGCCAGAACCAGAAAATCCAGTTGAGGCTTCAGATTCTTCCCACAGCTTCCTGGCTTTCAGATCTTCTCAAGGGAGCCTGCAGGAGCCTGGCTGCAGCTGAGCCACCGCAGCACATTTGTTACAAAGGGAGAGGCGCCAAAACAACGCTGCCCTCCTTTCCCCCTTGCAGCTGGCTTCCCTTCTAGGAAGACAGAAGGGTGGAGACCTTGTCATCCATGGAGGCCCCTCCCCAGGCAGAGCCCGTGTGCACACACATCATCTGGACCCTCGGCTTTCCCCTTGCAAGAACAGGCTGTTCTCTGCCTTTTGTTTGGAAATGCAGACTTCTAGAGCACTGCGTGGGGATGTGCGGGAGCGGAAGTCTGCACTCCTCTCTGCTGGAGGACAAAGCCAGAAAGGAGGGCAGAATTCCAGTTGTTGGCCCAGCCATCCCACTAGAGGCCTTTTGGCGCCAGAAGGCCCTGCAGGACACCCCCCCACCCCCTGCCTTGAGCGGGAGGCTCAAGGCAGGAATCCAAAGCAAGCAGAGCCCTCCCCACCCGGACGCCCCCTCTTGTCCAAGCGGAACCTGCCTTCTTTCCGCTCCCCTCCAATCCTCGGGGCTCTGGCACGCCTGACCTTCGCCTCTGCAACCTCCAGGAAAGTGCTGTGATGCTGGGCCCTCCTTTCTCCTCCTCTCTCCAGGGGTTCTAGCCTCATGGCGGCCTTCCCACCCCTCCTGCTCAGAACTACTGGTGGGAGGCCAACTAAAGTAAGAAACCTTCCTGACATTGGGAAACGACGCCTCTGCCTGCTTCTCTCTCCTACGGCCGGTGGCTAGGCGCAGCCTCAGCATCCTTCCCCCCCCCCCCGACATTGCCAAGCACTGGCCGCCGCCCCTAGGCTGCCATGATGCCCGGTCAGTCTCTGGAGGACAAGGCACCAGCAGGCAGAGTCTCCCCTCCCCACCCCTCCCCCTTGCAGGCTCTGGGAACTGCAGGCTACGTTTAGGAAAGGAGGGGGGAGCTTTCAAGGAGGAGCATCAGCCCAGCCCCAGCAGAGCAAAGCATCCCTTGCTGGTCCCAGCCCCACCGGATGCCACAAGAGGAAACCCAAGAGAGGGGGGGGGGGCAGTCTGTGCTGTGCAATTCTTCCTCCGGTCCAGCCCAGCTGGGCGTGATGGCCTCCCTGGAGGACCTCGCTGAAAGAATTCCCTGGCCGGTTGGCTAGAGGGGGCAGGTCCGGATGCTCCCGGAGCAGAAGCGTCTTCCTTCCAGGCCTGGCTGTGGGGTTCCTATGACCGGTACCGGCAGCTCTGTGCGGTTTTCCTGCCTTTGCCTTGGTCTTAAGCTCCATCAGGCAGATCCCCTCGGCCACCTGGACGCCAGCCAGACTTCCAGCCGAGGGAAACTCCTGGGAAGGAAGCCCAGGGCGCAGGCAGTGACGGACGAAAATCACACACTCCCCCCGGTCGCGGGAACCCGCTCCTGGGCCTTCGGGACGGAAGCGCTGGGCGCCCAAGACCCCCTAACGGCCGCCGCCGCCACCGAGGGAAGCTCCGGCTGTGCAGGTGCTTGGAAAGCCCCACCCCGCGACCGATAAGTGAGAGTTCCGCATGGGGCCGGGAGGAGGCCGCAGCACTTCCCAGCCTAGCCGGGACGGCTCCCAAGCGACCCACGGAACCAGCCAGCGCCCGCCGGCTGGGTCGAGGCAAGCCCCTAAGGCCGCCTAACAGGCGCCGCCCGCCCGCCCTCCCTCCCTCCGGCCGGCTCGGAGGGAGAAACGGGCCGGAGACTCCCCGCTAGACGCGTCCCAGACGCCACCGCGCCGGCAGACGGGCTCCCCGACACGGGCGCCCAGGCTCCCTCCCGCCGCCGGAGCGCCCGCCGGCAGCTGCCGAGTCCTTGGAGCCCGTCCGGAGGGGGAAGCCCGCCGCCCCCCCGCAAAAGGGGCGAGGCGGCCTGGGGGCGCGGCGCTGCCCTCCCGCCCGGACTCACCGTGGTGCTGGGGCTGCCCGCCACTCCAGCCGGGGCCTTCCAGGGAGCTCTGGCCGGGCGGCCATTCAGCGGGGAGGGCCGGCCACGGCGCAGCCGGCCTGCAGACCGAAGGGCGGCCCGCGGAAGGCGGGTCGGGCCGGGCCGGGCGTGACTCAAGCCTCAGGAATGCGCCGGGCGGAGAAGCGGCTCCCTCCGCCCGCCACCTCGCCTCCGACCGGCGCCACCGCGGGAAGAAAAGCGCCGCGCTGGAGTTTGGCCTGGCGGGCGGCGGGAAAGGCCGGGGCTGCCGCCGGGCGAGCTTCCCCCTCACCTCCCCTGCCTCGGACGCGGCCCCGGACCGCTCCCCGCTTCCCTTCCGGCCTAAGCCGGGCCGCCCCCTCGGCGGCTGCCTCCGGAGGCCGCGACCTGCTTTCCGGGGCCCTTCTCGCCCGGCCGGCTAGACAGCTGCTGGGGGAGGGGCCGCGCCTGCTGATCCTTTGGGCCGGAGAAGGAAGCGGGAAAGCCCCCCCGCCCCCGGGCCCTCTCCCCACTCGGGCGGCCGCCCCGTCCAGCCCTGGAAGAGCTCTTGCCAAGAGGCAGCCAGAAGACGCTGCTGGGGGGCTGCTGACAGAGAGCCCTGAATCCCCCTTTGTAAGCAGCGCTGGCGCAGCAGAGAAGGCCACCCAACAATGCCCCCATTGTAGGCCCCACACTGTCCCTGAAGGATGTTTGTGTGTCTCCATCCCCAAGGGGGGCAGCATCAGCCTTTCTGCCCCTGCTCCTCCCCAAATGCCGAGTGCTGGGCTTTGGTGACACTTCATGGCCTCGGAGAGGAAGAAGGCTGCCAACTCTGCCACTCCCCAGGGCCAGCTGGGCACCCAAGGATCCTGTAGCCCTCCGCTTCTGCCGCTTGTCAAGCAGCCAAGAGGGGCAGAAGGCCTGGCCATTTTTTGTAAGGCGGCAGGGAGGTCCGAAGCGAGAGGGGGGGGGGAGCTGGGGGCAAAGGACTCACACCTATAGGCCTCCCCAGTGTCCCACCCTTCCCTCTGGGGGAAGAAGCAGCAAGATGCAATGTTCCAAGGAGGGCAAAAAAAGAAAAGGAAATTTGGCAGTTGATATCAACACCGTTCCCTACACTGCACAATACTTTTCTCAGGAAAGCCTGAATAGTTTATTGAGAAATGGCCAACTTAGGGCACTCCTGCAGTTTTGCATCCTGCAAAGTCTGGAATTGAAAAACCGAGTGAAACCTTGCTCTCCTCCGGCTGAATTAGCCCCACCACCCACTGAGCCAAGCCACGTCTGGTATGTTTTCATTTAAAGGTTTCTGACAGTCCATCCTGCCATTTGCATGCTTAAGGTTTGCTACCACTTCAGATTATTGGTTAGTATTTGATAAATTCATTTTGCAACTCCAGCCTGGCTGTAAATTGTATATGCCTGAATATCTCCCAACCATTCCAGAATGCTTCTAAAGACAAAGGGCGCAATGGGTGACCAGCCAAACTATCCCAGGTAAAATAACATCATCAGTCCCCTTCCTCCCCCTTTGAGAATAGCTGGGAATTCCTTGGCAGCCAGCAAGGCTAGCCACGAGGCTGCATCCCGTTCTATTTCTTGCAGCAGGAGACATGGAATCTGGCGGGTTCCTGGCAGAAGCCATTTTTAGACAAGAATATCAATAACACCAAGCAGCTTCTCGCACCAATGGCAGAGGTTGAGCCTCGGAGAGCAGGTCTGAGCTGCAACAGGGATGGGCCCTCTCTGTGCAATCAGCCCACCCCATCCAGGTTTTTGGCCTACAGCTTCCTCTCCAGCTGCTCCTGGCTAAGAGCAAACATCCTTAATCCTGAGCGGGTGCAGTTCTTGGGTCTGCAAAGGGAAACATTCCTGCAAGTGTCCTGTTAAATGCTGTGATACAATCCATTTGGACGCACAAATCCCAGCCACTGTGCCGCCACCTGGATGAAGAGGTTCTTTGTCCAAGGATGACCAGGGACGGAGGGCAGTTTTGGGGACATGGAATAGCTTAGCCTGGGTAGGAAGAGTTCCCCCACCCCCAGATATTCAAATACGGCTAGGATCTTCTAACAGGAGTTATATTTAGCCCCCCTCCATGTCTTCCAACTTAAACTGTCAGGCTCGGCAACAGCTGCTACTCTTCAGGGCTTTGAAAAAGCAGGCAGGCGCTCTCTTTCCACGAGACGTCGGGTGGCCCAGCTCCCTCCTTTCTTTACAGCAGTCCCGGAAGAAGAAGAAGAAGAAACGGGTTTTGTACCTGGCGGTTCCTTCCAGCCATCCGATTTTCACAGCCGACCTTTGCAAATGAAGAGGGCAGAAGGGGAGCAGAAGAGCTGCCTGGTGCAGCTGGCTGGGGAGATGGCATGCCCGCTCCTAACAAGGCTCTCCTAAGCGCAAACCCAGAGTGGCTGCTGCCCTGCCAGGGAAAGGGGGGGGGCTCCCCACGTGATTAAGTGGGGGGGGGGGCTTGTGCTGGCAGCTGCTGGGTGGATTTTGCCTTGGCTGGGAGACTAGTTGGCAGACAAAGCGGAGGTTCCGGGTGGGAAGTAGGACGATTCCACCCTCGGGAGAAACTTGTGCCCAGAGAGCCTCCGCATCCAGCTGCTGGGAGGAGCCTCACTGCAGGCTCCGTCAGTTTCTGAGCTGACCCAGGCCGCTTAACCAGGGCCCGGCAGCCGCAGCTGGATTCACGGGCACATGCGGCTGAGGGGAGCCGGGGAAGCCTGGGTGCTTGGACCCCGCCGCCTGGCTTCAGAGTACGCGGCGACTCTGCGGCTTCTTAGGCAACTGCCAGGGCGGCCGCTTCGGATGAAAGTGGGGCAAGAGCCCCCTCCGGCGCTCCGCCCTCGGCGGGAGGCTGTCGCTCGGCGTCTTCCTTGGAGAGAAAGCCCCAACCGCCCCCCTCGGACTTCCGGACGCGTCGAAGGAAGCGGCGGGACGGGGCGGCACTGGCTCCCGCACCCCCGGGCGAGTCCTTCCGTCGTTGGCCGGCTCCAACCGGCCGCCTCCCACGACGCCCCAGTTTGCGCGAGGGTCTCCCTGGGAAGAGCGCGGGGGGAGCCTCGCCTCCCAGCCAGCAGCCATGGCCGCCGCGCCGAGGCCGCTTCAAACCGAGGCGGCCCGCCTGGGCGCCGCCTACTTCGACCAGCCCTGCATCTCCCTGGCTAAAGCCCTGCTCGGACAGGTGAGCTCGGCGGAGGGGCGATAGGCGGTTGCAAGGGCGGCCCTAGACGGCCTGGTCAGCGCGGGCGGCTGCTCTCCAGGAAGCGGGCCGCCCGCCAGGCTCTCCCGCCAGGTGGAAGGGCCTCGTGCGGGCCCTGGCAGCCCTGGGGGGGGGGGCACAGGGGCGGGGAGCCGGCTGACCTCCGGCAGTCTCGCCCGACCACGTTCCAGGTTCTGGTTCGGAAACTGCCCGACGGGCGCGAGCTGTGGGGGCGGATCGTTGAAACCGAAGCCTATTTGGGAGGGGAGGACACCGCTTCGCACTCCCGGGGCGGTCGACGGACCGCCAGGAACGCAGCGATGTTCATGCGACCCGGCACGCTGTACGTGTACCAGATCTACGGGATCTACTTCTGCATGAACGTCTCTAGCCAAGGTAAGCAGGCGCCCCCCCCTCCCCCCCTTGGGTCAGGGCGAGTCCTGGGATGAAACCGTTCTGCCCTTTGAGTCTCCCCCCCCCCGTTTCCTCCCCACCCCCCTTCCAGTCCGCATTGCCTTTGAAGCCCCCCTGCTTCTCCCTCCTTCTGCCCAGGGGAAGGGGCTGCCGTCCTCCTCCGTTCCCTGGAACCCCTGCGGGGGCTGGAGACCATGCGAGAACTGCGGCTGGCCCGCCAGCAGAAAGCCCCTGCCCGCCTTCTCCAGGACTGGCAGCTGTGCAACGGGCCCTCCAAACTCTGCCAGGCCCTGGCCATCGACCGGAGCTTTGACCAGCAGGACCTGGGCTGCAACCCCTCCCTGTGGCTGGAGCCTGGCCTGGAAGCTTCTGGAGACCAGGTCCCCATCTGCGTCCCCCGCATTGGCATCAGTGGGGAGTGGGCCCAGAAGCCTTTGCGCTTCTACCTCCAGGGCAACCAGTGTGTGAGCGCCATTGACAAAAACGCCGAGGGGCGACGGCCACGTGGGGCCGTGGCAGAGAAATGTCTTTAGCTTGCCGCACGAAGCGGGCATGAACACAGATGATGCCAACAAAGGACTAGAAGGGCCGTTTCAGATTTATGTATGTAAATAAACATGTTTTGCTCTCTTCCAGTGGAGCCAAATGCCCAGTGAAATCAGCAAGAGAGGAAGTGCACGGCCCCAGGCCCTCTTTACTAGAACAGCCCCCTCCTCACCCAGGACAACTGAGCTGGCAGTGCCAGAGTGGTAGGGCTTAAGCAGACAGACACGCCCCTCAATGTCTCAATTCGTAGGGGGCAGGGTGGGTGGGCTGTGAACCCACTGCTTCACCTGTGGCAGAAGGGGAGTCCTTGGGCTCATCCCTGGGTCTCCGTACTCTTCCTGCTTTCAAAAGTCAAAGAACAGCTTCTTTCCCGCCTCCACAATTTGGGGTAGGAAGCCCACACTCTGCTGAGCCCCATCCCTGAAAGCCCTCCTTCCCTCCAAAGAAGGCTGCAGCCCCCAAGGGGACAGAGTGCAAAACCGCCGGAAAGCGACCCTTGGAAGGGCGTTCCTGTAATGTCCAACAGGAGGCGCTTCCTCAGGTCCGGGAGCAGCATCTGGCCTCCATCGGGGTCCTTCCTGGCTCCAAGCAAGCTTCCTCTCCTCATTTATGGAGGGACTGAAAGACCGAGATGACAGGGTCCTCGTGGTTCGTCACCACCAGCACGCTACGGAACTTGTCAAAGAGCATGAGCAGATGGGAGCGGCGCATGTTTTCGTTGTACATGATCTCCTCCAAGTGATGCCGTCCACGGAAATAGTGCAGCAGCCTGCAAAGGGGGGGGGGGAGGCGTGTTTCTGCCCTGCAGCCACAGCAAATGGCTACCCACTCATTGTGGCCCAAGGCCTGAGATGCTTGCTCCTCCCCAGGGGCCCACCCAGGAGGGGCAGGCTTGGCCCTGCTGTCCAAACATGAAGCTTCCCCCTGGGGCTTCGTGAAAACTGTAGAGAGTCTCGGCCAATGGCACCACTCCTGGACAGCAGCCCTAGAGAGCAGCCCTTCCGCTACCTGGCAAACATGCGCAGATCGTCTGGATTGTGAGCTGCAGGGACACTGAGAATGGCTTCGCGCTCGTGTTCCGAGAGGCTGGTCAGGAGGTTCTCCGTCATGCGTTTGTTCACGGGAGACTCCCCCCCAGGCAACAGCTCTGCACTGGAGTTGTCCATGCTGGGACTCGTCAGGGTCATGTCGTCACTGCTAGCTGTGAATAAACAAGCGTGTGAGCCCCCCACCCCACCCCCTTGCCCTGGAAAGCAGCCCCTTTGCAAAAAGGAAGGCCTCCGTGGGGGAAGAGAGGCGATGGGGTCCCCATGACGACAGCCGCCACCTTTTCCTGATGGGAAGACAGACGCAACAACGGGACTGAAGGGGAAGACAGCTTTCAAAAAACTGTTGGTCAAGCCCTCCTCCACTAGCGATAGCATTTAGACTTCTATGCCTTTGTGTAGAGCTTTGCAGCCTCCCTAAGAGGTTTACAGAGTCAGCCTTTTGCCCCAGCAATCTGGGTCCTCATTTTACCAGGAAGATGGAAGGCTGAGTCAACCTTCAGCCAGTCAGGATCCAACTCCTGGCAGTGAGCAAAGTCAACTGCATTCTAACCACTGCGCCACCATGGCTTTTCAGAGCCGGAAAATACTATTCCAATCCCTCCGTCTCTCTCTCTCTCACACACACCCACCCACAGACACACAATTCCATCATACTGCCCTTTAGAAATAAGCAGAAAAGAAGAGATTATCATGATATGAGCCCAACTTGGCTATTTGTGAAACTAAACTCCATTAGGCATGAAATAGGGCTGAGGGTCTTTGGGCCACTCCCTTTCTAAGCTCAACTTCCTCAGGGTTGTTGTGAGGACAATAGAAGGAAGGAGTATCAAGTATGTTCACCAGCTTGGCCTCCCTTTCATCCATCCATCCAATCATCTTCCTCTTCCTCGCTGTATAGGACTTGAAACCCAGAAGTCAACCACTGTTCTGGCTGGGCTGAGCTCTGGGGAAAAGAGGCCGCCACTTACTGGGAGAACCAAAACTGAGCGCGCTAGGAGTGCTGAGGCTTCGGCCCCCAACTCGGGCTGGAAAGGACAGCTCTTCTACTCTGGTGCGAAAACCCTCCTCTTCTTCCTCCTCCTCCTCCTCCTCCTCCTTTGGGGGAACCATTAGGCAGGCGTAGCTGTGCAGCTGAATGAGAAGCCGATGCTGGAGCATCCAGGCCACCATCCGGATGAGATGCGTCTGGGAAAGAAGGAGAGGCCATCAGAGCGGCCTAAAGTCTTGGCCGTTAAAGCATCTTGACCACCTTGAGGGTTGGGGCAGGGAGGACGAGGAGCTGGAACTTGCCTCCTGAATCGCTGGAGCAAGAGGGTCCTTGAGCTCAGAGAGAGAAACTGGCCAGGAGAACTTGGACAGAACTGCGGGCAGGTCCTGGCCTGGGAACTGAGAGGAGAACTCCTCTGCCAGAGGGGAGTAACTGCGGAAGGGAAGGGAAAAGGAGGGGGTGAGCAGGCCGTCCTCCTACACTGCTCCTGCCTGGCCTCTGGGGGCCCCAGGTCTACCTCACCAGCACCTGTGAAGCCCAGGAGACGGGAACAGACACACAGCCACCCCTGCAGCAGAAGGAACAAGCTGAGCCACTCACAGGCAGACGTTGGCATTGGGGGACAGCATGTAGACATTGTTCTCACACAGCGGATAGACCATGAGGGCCTTGCCCCAGTAGACCAGATGGGCAGCCAGCTGAAAGACCTGCCAAGAAAGAGGAAGCAGCTGTTGGGGCAATTCAGCAGCCCCTCCGGGCTGGGCTGGACCAGGGTGGCACCGAGCTCCCTCTCCAAGGAGAACAGCTACGTACTATTCTGCTTATGCAGATCCCATGAGGAAAACACACAGAGGCCTACTGGCGGCCAAAGGAGGAAGCGCCCGTTCCCCTGCTGCGGGTTGAGACCAGGGGTACAGCTTTCATCTATCGCGAGGGCCCCCGAATCCCAGCTGGTGGGAAGCAGGGGGAGGTGAGATTCACTGCCCTCGAGCTCAGCCTGTGGATGCAATAAGGGGAGGTGACCCATTCAGATCCCACGGGGCCTGATGCAGCTGGCTGGCTCTTCCGGTCCTCTTGGGAAGGTACAAGCAGGCAGAAGGATGTGCTGCTCCTATTACAAAAGTGGGCTTTAAGGCCTCAGTTGTTGCACTGGAAAAGATCCCCCCCACACACACAACGCTTCCTTTTTCCTGGGAGGTCTCACTGTCTATTTGGGGGTCAACTCGGCTCCTGTGTTTTGGAAGAGAAGGTCCACCTGTGGTAATCAAAAGGCTTTGGAGCCCCCTCTGAGCTCACCTGGAGCAAGGCCAGGTCTGCATCCTGAGCGAGCTGCTGAAGGTTCTTCACCGCAGAGGCCGTTTTGATCACTCGCACCAGGGCAGGGGAGCAATCCAGGGGCAGTTCGCTGAGGAGGGACTTCTCATCTCTAAGCAGCAATAAGGCATGGTAAGGCCTGCAGAGAGATGGCAAAACAGGGAGGGGGGGGGGGGGCGCGTTAGGATAACCTATAGTGGCTGGGGAAAAGCAGCAGCTGCTGGATTATTTTGTACAGTTTCTCTATTTCACAAGACTTAAGACAGGTGCAAAAACCTTGGTGGGACAGAAGTGGTGACTGATTCCTCAAAAACCAGAGCAACTGAATGTGTATTGTGAGAAAAGTGATTTTCATGGGATTTATGAAAAATCA